GTAATGTGCAGATGGCAATGTTTCATAAAAATACATAAGTTGGGCCTTGTGAGAACTAATAGATGGAAGAAATTCAGTTTGGTCTTCTTGATTTTGCCATTGTAATACATAGGTACCTGCATCTTGCATGATATGAGTTCCCTGTAACATTGGAATAATCATTAATTTCATAAAGGCAATATCCGACCACATATAAACTAAATATACATACCTGAATACTCTCTCCATCGTGACAAACTACACTGGGTTCGACTTTAACATAATTATCTCTTAACTCTTTTGCAACTACGATATCGTGATCACCACCTATTGCGAGCTCTGAGATTTCTATTAAAAAATCAATATGTATCAACATAATGACATGTATTATATCGTTATTTTGAATTGTTTGCAAATGTTACCAAACTTATTTTATCATAAAATTTCCTTTAATATTGAGAGTTACCTGCTATCGCGCCATTTTCACTATTTCTGGATTTGTGAAGAACCGTGAAGACAACATTATGCCGCATCACATCAAAGTCCCATGTCAATACTGCGCCTGGATCATCAGATTCTATGAATATATGATGAGTTTGGCCACGACTCAAGCTGATGGAATGATATAAACTGTGTTCGTGTTCACCAGTGGTACCCTCCAAGTCCAGCCTGTATAAGTTCTTCGGCACTACTCCACGTTCCATTATATATGTCTGATGTTTATAATAAAAAGATAAAAGTTTTAATCACATAAACGTGCACATATATATACTTATTTAGTATATAACTACAAAGTATTTAAACTTTACTTTTATTAGATAGCTAGTAAAATTTCAGATATCTGATATTTCTCAAAGAATTTTACACAGAGTCTAATTGCATAATTTAACCATATATTTTTAACAATAAATTTGTAACCTTCATTAAAATAAGATGGTTAATATGGTTAAGATATTCTGTAATTCAACTAGCTTTAGCACGCAAAATTACCTAATTTTTCATGTGCACAATATTATTGTATATTTTGTATTTAGTGCTTGAATTTGCGTGCATATCACATAGCTATAGAATTCTGATTGATTCAAATTACATATAAACGACCTGTCCTAACAGACTATTTTCTAAGTTTTTAAATTATTTATGAATATAAGTGAAAAATTAGATGACTTGTATAATTTGGCTTTTGTGTCGGACTAACACAATGATGATATATGATAAAGATAAGGACATCACGACACGACAGACAATCTACATATGTATCAATTGCTGATGTTGTGAATGATATAATTTTATGACCAATACTTCTTTGGTATTTCAGATATGGTATAATGTGCATTTTGCATAAATATAAAAATATCACATCGTCTGTGTTTCACTAAAGCCAGTTAGCTGCACAAAGCAAATTCTACAATATACTCAACACAAATTTTGTATTGTTTTCTTACACTGTTCACGGTTGCGTCGAAAATGTAAAATCTTCGAGGTACCATACTATAGACTTCGCATATATTCATTTCCTAGTATTTAACATATTTTAACATATGTTACTTTAACGTGTATATAGAGATTAAAAACGGCACTATTGTTTTTCTCAGTATTTTTTTTTCTCAGAAACTTTTATAAAATATTCCATTATTGTTAAATAAAAATGTCAATAAAATTTTTGATTAGTTCTATATTAATAATCATTACGAAATAATATATTTTTTCTTTGTAGCAAAAACGCGATATGAACAAATTAAGTTGTATATTAATAGTATGTGTATAAACTTATATTCGAGGTCTGCTAAATATTTGATGTCCATAAATATATTCAATCATGTAGTAAATATTAATATTATTATATTTTTAGTGTTTATATTAGCTATAATGCATTATTAATTTTGTTGTAAACTTACCTCTGAAGAACCACCAAGGAAATCGGGAATAAATTCTTGATTAATATATTCACCGAGACCTCCAGATCCTTGCTCTTGATAGTCTGTACCACAATAGAAGATGAATTTTTTCCTAGTGTTCTCGTCTGCAATTATAACATGTACGATTAATAAGAAAATATTTAATGATTAAATACAACTTAATTAAATTGACAATCAAGATCTTTACTAATAAAAGTGCTGATTAGTGTCCACAAAATAGGAAAGCATCTAGGTGCACGTATAATCAAAACTCTTCCCATTGTTTCTGGATAATTTGCTTCAACTATTTCGATTATTCTCAATAATGCCTGGAAAAAAAATTGAACAAATTTATGTCACTAAATTCAGCATTATAATCATTTATAACATTAAAATTATAATGAAAATTAATGATAGATACAAGCTATTTATTTCATTAAAATTTCCGTACTTTTATCCCAGGTCTCCATAAATGCCGCATATTTAAACCTTCCAAGTCTATTAACAGAGTCCATTGTGAAACTGGATGTCCCCAAACAGTTGTGGCTTCCTCCATCAAGTGCAGGCCTTCCTCACAGATATGTAGAGCCTGCAATAAAAATGTCGTTAAATACAACTCCAAACAATTTTGGACTTTAAAACACTTAAATTAAACTTACCAGTAATAATAATTCATCCTCTCCAATCGATTTGAGTAGACCTTTAACGTCCATTTGACCGAGCCTTAAGATATATAAGGGTCGTCCATCTACATCAAAGGTATATAAATAGAAGGTACTGTACTATGATGTGCATTTTTTAATATATCGACTTATCAATTTTTATAGCCCAGCTTACAGTCTAGCATTTGACATTTTCAGTAACGTCTTTTTTTATTAACTACCTTTGTCAAAATGATGCCAACCACCAGGAAAGTAATCCTTAATTACTTGCGGCATTTCGTATTCATCGAGAAGTTTATCGATTTGATGCTTTTTTCTCCAATGTAAAGATTGAGTTAACATTTCTCTAGCCTTTTCGACTGAAAATTCTGCGGCTCGCAGGAATCGTAGAAGAGTTGCGTATCCCGGTACAGAGCTTCCCCTTAATTCCTCTATACTGTGTCTGAGTTGGACTAGTTTGCTTTCCTGTAGCATATCTAATTTACCTAAATATCTCTCGATGTAATCCGAAGACAGTTGCATCTCTGAAATTAAAGAATAGCAAGATAAAACAGATTATATATTCATTACTATCATACACAATCACTATTCTTATATACATGCTAAAAATGTCATACCTCTGTTGCTAGGCAGTTTGCTGTCGGCATTGCATAATTCTTTGTCGCTATATAACTCATTATTTTCGTCCACATTTTTCCTACATAAAAAAAGTAACCATTGCAGACCGAAAATAATTGCTCAATATAATTTGTTAGTATGAATTTAGGTAAAATGTGTTAAATGTTTACTGCTGGAAATTAAAATTATAAGGTGTTACAATTGTGAAGATTTTAAAGATTATTTCAAACAAATAATCACTTGTGCTTTTGATGTCTGAAGTGTGCGCTTGCCCATAATGATGTTCCTTTATAATTAATATCTCATGGAATTTATGCAATCAAGATGTACAGACTCTAATATTTAAAATTATAGGACTTAAATATTTAAGGACTCACTTTTCTTCTTCAGGTGATTTCTCTTGTGGATCTTTCCATGGAGACACATAAGTAATGCCTTCTTCCTTCAATTGATTTATGAAGAACTCAATAATTTCCTTACCCTTCAATTAAAAATTATATTCAATATTATATTTTCAATGATATACTATTACTTTCTTGTGATTTTTCTCCTTTGTAGTAGAAAATATTATATCTTACCTTAGCAATATTTTGAGCATATTGCTTCATTGCTAATTTCTCCATTGAATTTTCAAAACCAAAGAAATTTCTTATGTCTAAACTTGCCGTCTGTTCAAAGCAAGTCCAGTCTGCATTTTCAGGATGAATCTAATTATAAATAATATTGATTTTTTTATTTATATAACATACTTACAGGACATAGAATATATAAGAATTATCTATAACATATAGAAAAAATAAAGATTGTATAATAAAAATTAATGAATCTATATATATAATACTTACAAAATATCTACATTTCTCAATAACAGTCACTCTAGAGGAAAAGCTTTCATTGTAAGCTTCTATTTCCAAAACATTATTGCGTCTATCTAAAACATTCCTTTGAATAAAGTATACAAAATCCACTCCAATTATCTGAAATAAATAATATATAAATATAAACATAAGATATTTCAATACATTGAAATTATTTCAATTAGTTTGTACATATATTTGGTTTCATAGATACTGTACAATATTTTTTATCTATAAAATCAAATATGATAAAAAATATTTATCAATACAGGTTCTGTGGACAAACTTTTTTTAAGATATAAGGTGCTTCCACATTTAATTTACACCGTCTTTCTGTGGTTCTAACAGCACCATCCTTGCTCTCCTCATCTAACATAACTTCACACCCAACAAAAACAGGTATCTGTGGACATGTAGGAAATCTACGTTCATATGCCTAAAAAATAAAGTTTTACATAATTTCCTGTTTTTTTTGTGTCTTGTGTATAATACTGTGATATGTTTATTATTAATTATTAAGCAGTATTTCATGATAAAAAGTGATAATTAAGGGATTAATTAAGTGATTTGCATATGTCACATGACTTGAGAAAAAGACATTTAAAAGAATGCTGCTGTTCTTGTATAGTTTAACATAGGAGGATTTATACGAGGAATCGGTTATTGGATTAGCTGGGATATAGCACGTGTACTGTCAAGGCCGTAAGAGAACGGAATGTAATGAATACTTTATGACAGCCAAGTTTGAAGGCTGAATAATATAATAAACAGACCATCATGACAAGAGCGAAGGGGTGCTTATAAACTCGAACGGGCGATTGGTATTGTTGAACCATTGTTTGTCAATTCTTTTTACACAATTTTTTATATTAAATATACACTGATTATGCTTGTAGCTTATGGTAATTCAATCACGATATATACACACTACTGCCATTACAAGTGATCAATCAACAGACTGGACTTGCGACTACTCTCCAATTAAGGTATAGAAAGCACTGTCACTGTCCAATGAAAACTAGATGGAGAAAGAGCTCGCGAGTGTAGTATACTTTTTTACGGCAGCGCAGCATTCAGTGCCACCTCGTGAATACGATGTCTCAACTGAACTGCACGCGTCATAAAGAAGAGATTTGTTCTTTTCAGTTGAACTTTCTGCAACCAGTGCAATAAATGCACATACCTTTACACAATGACGTATATATATAAATCAAACGTTTGTATTTCTCTAATATAGCAGCAAGTAAAGCTGATATTGACAGTTTAAAACAGAATGGGAAAGTTGTCTCTTTATTTTGCATTCGGAATACTTGGTATATTGCCTATTAAATTTCCCAGATAGCACAAGATTTTCACAGAATATCCTGGGAACTTATGCGAACATTTAAAAGTCCTCAGGATATCTTTGGGGCGTCTTTGAAAGATGGTGCTGTCTGGATTTTGCCTACTAATCTGATTGTTTTTGAAGAAAGCGTTAGTTCAAAAGCTCCTCGAAAACGAACAAGATTTAATGGAGGATTCACATCGCGTTCGATGTCCGACGTACGATATCCAATAAGAGAACAGCTTTCTAATAGAGAATTCAATTCTCCATTGGAAAGCTGTTGCTCCTATTCGCTCCAACGCACTCTGATTGACTTACGTCACCACGCGGACCAATCAGAGTACGTTGGAGCGAGTAAGAGCACGTTGGGGCATGCAACGCGAACAAACCTAAAGTGTGTACTAATGTGTATGTATGTCGGGTAGGGTTAGGATTATTTTTCAACTATGCTTATATTTTAGTATTTTTTAATAATAAATAATAAAATCTAAATAATAAAAAAGATATTGTCCATTTCATGTCGCAAATGCCAGTTTATTTTCAAGCCGCTAAGCTTATTAACTTTAATTTTCACTAGAAAACACTAGTTTACACAGTCGACTAGTAGTCCTCAAGCTGAGTGTACGGATGTGTAGTGTTGTGTCGACGATTACGATAATTGGAATGCAACTTGTGTCGCCGTGTGCATAAAAGTGTCTAAAAGTGTCTAATATTGCAATTGAAAAGCACTCACTGTTAATAGCGTGTTCGACTGGCCCTGGGTTAATCGCTCCGAGAGCGATTATTGACATCATAAGTCTCTATTAGCCAATCATAAAGCTTATAAGTACTTGTTCGACCAATAAACGTACGCTAAATAACCCAGAGTGGGTTAACCTAGGCTGCGTTCAGATTCCACACCCGAGTGTATTCTATTACTAGAAGTGCTACAGTATATGTAACATATTCTATAGTGTTTCTAATAATAGAGTGCACCCGGATGAAGAATCTGAACGCACCGCTGGAGCCAGTCGAACATGCTATAAGCCAGTGGCACACGATGCTTGTTTTCGTGCTAGATTGCTTACTGGATGAAAATACTCTGTTCTGATTGGTGCATTTCTTAAGATGGATGGAAATGCACCAATCAAAACAGTGTATTTTTACGCTTTGCTTGTATTTTTGATACTTTTATACTGAATGCACTTTGCATACCAGATGCAATGAGCGATACCCAATGAGAGGTCTTCTTTCTAAAGAAATGTACAACGAGCATTAAGTGCAAAAGTGTCAAAAATGCAAGTGATACGAACAGACCTATTATTAAGCTAGCGGTACACGGTGCTTGTTTTCGTGCTGGATTGCTTGCTGGATAGAAATACTCTGTTTTGATTGGTGTATTTCCATCCATCTTCAGAAATGCACCAATCAGCAAGCAATCCAGCATAAAACAAGCATCGTGTGCCGCTGGCTTTACTGTTATTTTTGTGGAGAGTACAGTCCATTGAATTTTATGTAGTTTTGTAACCGAGAAATATAATAATTTGATTTTTGCGTATGTATACAATACAAAAATTATATTGTTAATTTTTTATTTCTGACGCATGAAAATTTTATATTATTTTAATTATTATGTGGTTAGTATTTCATCCTCTTCTATATTCTTTTACATACTCCTGAAAATTTTGTGTCACACACCTTCATCTTGTGTTGCTTGGTCTTACCGCAACTCCAATGCAGTTTTCAGGGTTGAAAACGTCAGAAACTGCGAGTCATGATGCACGAATATCTAGACACGATGTATTCGATCGGGAAATATCGGAATTGAAACAGCTGGAACAGGAGGGCACTATTGACGTTTTATGTAGCATAATGACTTAGGAAAACGTCTAATACTAATTATCTCCCATAGATTCGACCTTAGTTAGCTCATTAGCTTGATGTGTAGTGCGACGGAATAACGAGTTTGAGTGCGGTGTAAGTGAAAATTTTCGTACCTAGAAATTCGTTCATGTAATGAGCAACACATACGAGGAGTCGTCATGTCCTTGGACGAACTATTTGTCGGAGGCGATCAATAAATGCGTGCTCAGCCTATGTTCATTACTTTCAACGACTTTCGGGCTAACCTTTAATTCCAACGACGTTGTTATCCTTGATAACGGAACCTCGTTGAGGCTACGCGATCTGCTTCACGAATTAGTAGCTTTGCTATCGTTCGACGATTTTCAGCTTCAGCTGCTCAAGGTCTTCCTGTTGACTTTCGTCAGTAGTGTCGCGTTGATCTTCATTGCTTGGCAAATTTATGGTTCTAAAATTACGGAGCAGTTTATGAAAACTGGTAAGATGCTCCGAGCAAAACGTCTTTTTTGTTTCATACATACTACTGTTGAAGTTTATAAAAAAATAAATATACCTGCAAAAATCAACATTTTCATCTTCATTTCAATCCAACATGACATTGAAAACTATATAGTTTCATAAGATAAACCAAAACAAAAACACTTTCAATATATTGCATATTATAGGTACTTCTTCTGAAGATTGTAATCCTTCAACTGAATAATTTGCTTTATTTCTGCTAGGCAGCAGAAGTAATTCAATATCTAACAAACATGGCCGATAAAATCAAATCATTTTTCCAACAGAAGAAGAGGGATGCAAAGTTTCTAAATGCAGGAAAGGGATACAAGTAATTGGAATAATTATATATATTTTGAAATATATTTATACATATGGAGAAATAGTAAAGACGGTAAAGATTTAATAAGTTAATAATATTTAACTGCATTGCTTAATTTATATTTACAGGTTGACAGATTCTACTAGTAGTAAATTAACTTCAGCAGAACCTGCAAAACCAGTATTAAGAGCAGAACCTACAGAAGAAGCTAAAATAGCAGGCCAAGCTGCTCTAGCAAGATTAGAAGCAAAGAAAGTTGATAAACCAAAATTCAATACGTATGTATTACTAAAGATAATTTCTATCATGTATCAATATTGTCTTGCCGCAGTATTACGCTTGAGGACTCAGTTCTATGAATAAGATACTAAAATATATTATTACTCAAATATTTCTTATGTATGTGAGAATATAATTGACATCGGTAAACATTCTTTGAAGTTTGATTGATTTAATGAGCATTATGACTATTTAAAGATCATATGCCGCCATTCAAGCACGTGTTAAGCGTGAGATGGAATTGGAAAGAAAGACACAGCAGGATTTACAACAGGCAGAAAGTACAGCACTGGAAAAAAAAAAGGTTGAGAGAAGAGAAGGTAGAATTGAAGATCCTTCCACGTATGCAGTTGTTGATGTATTCTTCCGTTGCCCCTACATATCTGATGAAATATTGCCACGAGATGAATGGAAGAAGAAAATAAGAGAATTTTTGTATGATGAACGAGGAGGAGAAGAACCCGGATTAACAGCAAGTTTAATTATACAAAATTGTAATAGTGGAAAGGAAAAGATTGAGAATTGTGTGGAAACACTTGGAAAATATCTGGAGAATATTATTAAGAATCCTGACATGGAGAAATATTGGAAGATCAGAATGTCGAATAGAATATTCCAAGTATGATATCGTATTTTACTAATATCGTATTTTAATTTAAGATAATTTTTGTAAATCAATTTACTGTGATTTATACATAGTATACCTTTGCAGGAAAAAGTTTTACCTGTTGAAGGAGCTTTAGATTTCTTGAAAGCAGCTGGCTTTGATCAAGAAGTGTTGCGACAAAACGAGAACGAGGAGGATTTCTTAATATGGAATCCTGACAATTGCAGTGTCGAAGAGCTTGTGATCTTGTATGATGCATTGAAATCCGCTGAACAGATTCCCATTGAGATAGACAGAAATCTCCAAGTATTAATGCCTTGTCAAGCTAGAATAAGGAATGAATTGCCACCTAGTTTTTTCACGATATCTTCAGAAGAAATAAAGAGAGAACAACAGTTACGGTGAGCTTATATGTATATTTAGCAAAATGTATCGATTTGTAACAAGTTATTAACTGAAAGTATTTATTATTATCAGAACGGAAGCTGTAGAAAGGAACCAAATGCTGAGAACAAAAGCTATGAGGGAGAAAGATGAACAGCGTGTACTTAGAAGGTATAAATTCGCTGTGCTTCGTATTAAATTTCCAGATGGTTTAATATTGCAAGGTACTTTCGTGGTACACGAGAAATTCAAGAATGTTCTTGAATTTGTAATTGAAAATTTAGCCTATCATGAAGTGCCCTTTTCATTGATGACACCGGATGGAATGAAGCTAATGGAAGAATGTTTCGACAAAACACTCTTAGAATTGCGATTAATTCCTACAGCTATTTTAGAATTTTCTTGGAACACACCCGATGGTAGTAGTTGCTCGAACATGCCTACAGGATATTTGAAGGAAGAAATACTTGCATGCATACAATCAGTTTGAAAATAATTTTATTCTATTATTAAACAACGATTAAGTGGAAAGATTTACATAATTACAAATGCATTTTTATAATTTTTTTTCTAGTATTTTTGACAAATAATATTGAGAAATGATCATGTTGTTCTATGAACATTTTAGACTTCGATTAAGTCAATTTTTCATGTATTCTTATGTTAGAACTTTACGCGAAATTACTTAAACATTTAATAGCGATAAATTATTAACTTATCTAAAAAAAAATATATATATATATATACACGTGTATAAAACTATCTTTATTTTGTCGTATAATTTTAATACGATAAATATTCTAATAATACTAGCATAATATATGTAAATGGTATAATAATATTCAGCATATATATATATGTTATGAAGTTTGTTCCCTTATTCAAGACCTATATAAACACAATCGGTCACTGAAACATGAGAATAAATGCGCGTTGATTCGTATCCGAAGCAGATATGATTATGCATGCATATATTTGCGTGCGTGTATCGCGAGTTGGATTGTATGTCCAGTATTTGCACTTGTTCCATTTGTTTCTCGCCGCGTCTCTGTCGATTTGATATACCAGCCGCATTTTAGCGCTCCACGCCTGTAGATATATACGCCCAAAGTATTGCTCGAAGTATGAAGAATTGCCTGCGCTCAGGAAAACCGCTTGTCCGTGCAGCCGTGCAGCTGCTGGACCGCAGACAGTTTTGTGTCTCTCGGCAATTACCTAAAACCAGTTTGGGCATCACCTCTGCCTCCCTCTACAGTATTTATAGGCATGTGGAATGATAATTTCTCGCTTATAACGGTATCAGTGACAACGTGATGCCGCGTACAAACGTAGTAATATGCAAATACGCCGCTTTAAAACTACGATTCGGATAGTAGAAAGTCCTCGGGCGCATCAGAGGCAGGCGATACCTCGGTAATAGAAAATACACATTCGAAGTCATAAATGTGTGACTTGATGATAAAACGCGGTCAACAGTAGAACGCGTTTGCGTCGTGTGTTCGTCGACCCAGTTGGTCGACGTGCATGCAATTTCGTGAAGGTTCACCCGTATGTCGCGTGCAATATCGGGTCCGGCACTCCCAAATGCGTGTGCCGCGGTACTCGCGCCGGCTGTCGCGGTTTTCTCGTATTGTTACGCGTTCTTTCGAGCGCATTGTGTCGCTTGTGCTTCCTGTTGCGTGCCAGGATGGGGCTTAACGCGCATTTAGGCGCGTGCGACTCGGCACGAGGAATTTTTGCTTTTTATACGAATGCGACGAGAGAGATCGACGGATTTCGCAATATTAAAGATACACAATGCTCGCGTTATACAACGATTACCAACAATCTTCTGTTGTATTATTAAAAAAACAAAGAGAGATAAGATTTCGAAATAACCTCGCAAACTGGGCTGACTATTGTTAGCAAATCCTGTAATTTATTTTGCCATACATTTATCCCTAAGATCCATTATTATTTTTGCGTTTACTTCGCGCTATTATCATTACCTCCATTTGTATCGCATTATAATTTTGCTCGCACGGAATGAATTTCCGCGGTGGTCTTCTGTACGCAATAATGGATTTGCTTGCCGATGCTCCGCATTGTTCCTTCGATTCACCGCAGCCTTGCGGTCGGTTTCTCATCCCGGTTGACATCGCGGTTGAATATAGCGAGGATCCTCTGACCCGTTTTCCTCATATATTTAAAGGTGTAGATAACTGCAGCAATTTCTGCTTCGAGAACGACGAATTGGTCGCCATGTATGAATTAAGCGAAAAGAAAGGACGCACACTCTTATGGTTTACATTTTTCTCATTATTTCCTCTATTTTTTAACAATAACTATCAATAGAATAGAAAATACTCTAAAACCGAACGAATTGGACTGAGAAGAACGATCTGGACGTATTCACACAGAGAGATCCGTGCTTCAAAAATTAATTCCAATTACTTAGACGCGATTCTTATCCGTGCAAATCGTTTTTCTCACGATCAATTTGAACAATTTCACTCTTAATGAGTAGGATTACGAAGGTATCGTAGTGTGACGTAACTTCAAATGCAGCTGTATTCTTCAACGGAGACGCAGAGATGTGGTGGCGCAACACATATCCACGCTATCGAAGTACGCGTTTTGATTACTTCATCGTGCAACTGTTCGCGGTAAATCACAGTTTAGCGCAGCTCATAATGATAGAATGCGATATATTTACGGTTCTCGACATCCGTTTGACCGTCTATAATAGTCGTGTATTAGAAGCGTGGTACATGGCCGCAGGATGCGTTCACAAATGCTCGCGTGTGCACGGGCGCGCGCTTGTTTGTAATCTCGCATACCGCGAATCGTCGCCCTTTTGCAATCCATCTAACGATCTCGGCACACCTGTTGCAGAAACAGGTGGTAATGATCGTGCCGAGCGAGTTTTTTCCCGTCCGACGGAGGATTGACATCGGGGGTGCGGAATTTCTGTTGGAAAAATTAGCGTTCCCGAGCTTCCAATGTAATTATTCGTCTCGCGCTCGTTGCACAGATTTTTCCTGAACAAAGAAATGTTGTTGAAGAGATTTAAATGCCTCAGTTAGTCACATAAAAATCCTACTGTTTTGTTTACATTTTTGAAACTTAATTAAGCTAAATTAAATATTACATTTAATTATACACAAATTAACTTTTTTAAAGTATTTGGTATGTAAAATCAAACGGAAAGCTTGAGTGACTTAAAACTGAAAAAAATTTTAATTAAAAATAAGATTGGCCACAAATGGGACACTCCGTGTTCTTAATTCTGCCGTTGTATTTATGGTGTCGAAATGATAAGGTCCACGGTAGGTGATAATTAGCTCGCGCTCACGAAACTTGAGCTGTTTAGCGACGAGGGACGACCTTGCGTAAGGGTGGCCACATAATTGCAATCGAATGAAGCAAAAAGAGTGTCTGCACATCGCGCGAAGAGCATCGGAAGTGAACGGCACCCGAGGCGGCTGCAAGGAAGAAAAAGGCAGACACGACTGACGGAATGAGTTCGAGTGAACATACGCCCATTTCGCTTAGAACATAGCCTACCGGAAATTTGCAGTTACCTTGCATTCCTTGCAGGGTCGAACGCCCTGGGGACTAAACGCCGGCGATCCGCCGTGGGGTGGTTAATTGCTCGCGGCTAAAACGGGATTTCCAATCCGTCGCGGAGATGATTTTCATCCGTCTATAAAGTAGATTTGGCACTGAAGAACGACGTCCTCGAGTCATTGTTGATGATGTAACGGCGTGCGTTTGTCTCGCATGTAATTAGTACTCCCGCTACAAATAGAGGTTATGATTCGTACCTAATCAAGGTACACAAAATTTAAAAACACAACTCGTTAGCACAATACTCGTGCAACTTTTAAATCATTCTCGAATATCGGTTGCTTTAAACCGTAAATAAATTTTTTAATCATAGTCGAAAATCCCAAGAATAATCATCTGGTTTATAGCTTACGGCTTAAAGACCAGGACATTCTTATGTTTACTTTCATAACTTGAGATAAACAAGACGTCTATTTTTATGACGATTTAGCGACTTTGTTGCAATGTCTTGAGCTCCTTTGGCGGGATAAAACGACTCTATCACATATTGCACCTATTTTCCCAAACATGTTAATTCTCATTAACTATTCTCTACCCCAAATCACTTTTCCCGATGTCACACGGACGACACTGAGTGCTTTCCATTTAATAACACAGCAAGTCGACACGAGCATCATCCTATCTTAGTTACTCATTGAATATGGAACAAAGACAGAATAATATTTATATGGACTTGTGTTATTAAATGGAAAGCACCCACTATCTAAAGAAAAAAAGTTTATAAGTTAGAGTTCAGTCGCTCAACACGGGGCGGCTTCTAATGGACCTTTAGAAACAAGATGTAATCGTGTGTACTTCCACTACACTCTAGGGCGTTTTCCGCTGAAAAGTTAGAAAACGGTAAAGCAGGATTATCTTATGATTTACTTGCGACATTTAACTCCCACGCGTGCCGCACGATGGCGTCTGCGCTCACCTCCTTTTCAAAAGTTTGAATTGAATTCAAAATTTCAAAAATTCAAAATTCCAGATTTCATGATGGGAGATCTAAAAGAATTCAACCTGTAACTTGTCACGATAACCTGTCTTCGTATCATTCGCCGTCGACAGCAAGTCAGAGACTTCGTCGCAGCGGCATTCTTTATCACTGCATTTGACAGCGGAGCGTGGTGCGATAACGCGCGTTGCGTACCTGACATGCGCGCTAGCCGGCGGCCATCTTGCGCGCTTCGCTTTCGCGTCGCAGTCGCGTGGTTCCTCGGCGCCGCTTCGCCGTCAGTGTACGCCGACTGTCGAACCGCGGCTGGTTGTGTACTTGCGCTTGGAGGTTGGCACTCGCCGCTGTAGTCGAGACGCTCTGCGGCCTGTTCCTCTGGAATCCGACGACAAGGGAGCGTGCGATGGATTCGACAATTGATCACGATCCGTTGACGATGCTCGTCGTTAGATGCCGGAACTTTTGAACTTCCTCACACACGGTAAAGACCGCGCGTTTATTTACTCCCGTTTGTGACAGTGATGGCCGGCGCTTTGTTTCACGTTACGCGCGAAGTAAATCGCATTACGAAAATCGCATTACGCTCGTGAGCCGCGGCATTGCTCGCGTAGTACGCAATTTACAAATCGACGCCCGCGTTCACCGTGTCGATCGCGGTGAAGGATGAGCCTTGCATCGGATTGTTAACCGAACAGTATCGCGACTGTGGTCCAGCCAGTTTGTCCACCGCTCACGAGACGTCCGTCTGTCAACCAACACAACTTCATCAACGATAATCATCCATGCGACGTGGACTACGCGACAGCATCGGCTTTTTGGAATTCAGCCGGAAAACATCCGAACGTGCAATAAAGGTGAGTGCAAGTAGGTTGTCTCGTTTCTCTTAAATTGGTACACGATACATGCAGAATACTCGATATTCTAGAATAATTCTCGAGGATTGCGCGAGAATATAATACTGAGGAGACGTGTTGTTTTTGATTTTTAATTATGTGCAACTTGGATATGTATAGTCGGCTGATTGAGGGCTGATTTTTCTAACCTTTTAATAAGTTAACTAACATAGTCTAATCTATGAGATGCATTATGAAACTCGTTGAGAAGAAGTGTCGCGCTCTTTAACCTTCCATCAGAATCTCTACTTTTCACTAATGCGGTTTGTTTCGCGGGAAATATCTATTTTTTCTCCATGTACATATAAGTAAAAAGAATTGAGACAAAAATTTGTCTCATTAATTTACGTTTTTACGTTCTAACCAGAACGTTGTTTAGAATGTCTGTAATTTTTATTTGTACTTTTTTTTAATGAAATCTCTAACAGACAATTGAAATTTCGACTGTTCCAAAAATGATCTACGAAACAGGCGAAGGTTTAATCAGCCGACTGTACGATTCCAAAATGATCTTCTTTCGTAGCGCATTGATTATAAGAGATATTACTCTTTGATCGATTACTTGTGTCAAGTATGCGGTAAGTGAATAAAAGAGAGAGAGAGAAAGAGATTGTCCATCCGTACGAATTTAATAGTCTTGATTCTGTAATATAAAGAGACACTCGCGAAACAAGATACGCTAATAAGGACATGACCGCGTTGAGCGAGGACCACCTGCGCGCGTAAATGACAGGAATTTAAATCACGCGATCCCATCAAGATGATGAGCGACCTTGATTACGTAGTGCGACAATGACATCCTTGCAACGCAGAAAGCGTGTCGCACAAACGGCGCATAATCGCGTCGCGTGTTCAGTGCGGGAGATAGGTTCGACTTAACCTTGCACTTTCGCTGAGATATGCATTATCCTCCGTTTTTGTTGCATACCTTCTAACGTTGAGCTTAATTCGTTTGGCGTCATAGCTACGCCAAAAAAGTCTAAAGTTCATACCTTATGCGATATTTCAAACGAGAATTATGTTTGGAAAATCGAAGGATTAAGAGAATCCATCGTCGCGAAAATTAAATGTCCATAAATAATCGTTTCAAATTTTAGTTACGCATTGCAAATAATTGATGAAGATATTTTCAGTAATTTGATATAAAGCAATCAGTAGTTCTTCAGCAATTTTTATAATCTTTCTCTTCCTCTCTTTCTCTCTTTCTCTGTTTGTTCCTTTCTTTAACGCACTTTATTCCGATAGAAAGTATAATTTAAGCTCATCACTTAGCCGTTTCGAGATTACAACTGTTGGATAATAATGCGACTATAATTGCCTTATTATGTCGGAAGAACTTCATCAGTCCACGGTCCGCGCAGCAATTAGTATGTTAATTGATTTGTCGGCCGATTGCACCTGTACTTACTGCATATTTAAGAATGGGACCGCTTCTTTAAGCATGATCATAAAATTTGGGAGACAAGCGATTAACATTAGCAACTAAGGCCCGTTAATTAATAGTTATTACTATTAAATTCACCTCAAGTGAGATACTGAAGCTCGTATTAATTAAGCTCATTTACTTGAAATTACTCTCAAACTCAGAAATACTCAGATTTCAATACAGAGTTAGATGAAAGTTTTGCGATTGAATCACAATTACAGGTATAATATCACATAAATATCATATAATTCAATTGAAAAACTTGGATCTAATTCTGAATAAAAATCCGAGTATCTCATGTGAGACAAACTTCAAGTAACGACTATTAATATAATCTTCAGATTTGAATTCAAAGTTAGATAAGAGTTTTTTAGTTGAATCTCCGTTACCGCTATGAATTTCACATGTATCATAAATCAACTGAAAATCTTTAATCAAGCTCTGAATGAAAGTCTGAGTATCTCACATGAGACAAATTCAAAGTAATAACTATTAATACGAGCTTAAGTCACGTTGATTTAAGACCTAAGTCAAGTGATCTGCTGAGATCGCTTGACGTCTGAGAAGATAGTGAGAAAGGGGAGACGCATATGTTGAAACGGAAACTTACGGATTACTTTCTTTCTCACATTAAGTGGTCCCGAAACCTCATCCTGAAACCGGTGGTGCAAAATTATCCGTGCTAATGTGATCTTAGCCTGATTTTACGCCCGTCTTACGCGTCCAGTCGCACTCAACGCACCACGCGCGATATTGTCCGCGTCGAAAAGGCAAGCGAAATTAAACACGTGCGAAATAAAAAAAACTCATTCTGCAAAACAGCGAGAGGTAGCGTAGCTAAAAATATCGCACGGGTGGTATCTTCCAGTCACGATGTCGTTACTCACACGAAACGGAAATACGACGCTTGTGTCTCTCGAACGAGTTGATTTTTCGCAGCTTCGACTTCTTTTCAACTTGTCGAGCCATTGTCAGCCAGAAAATTTCGCCAGTGCTTAGCCCACACGTCATTGTCTCCTCTCGAGAACAATGAGCCGTTTAGTGTGTCCCATCGTGTACACTTTTTATTCGTCGCTCGTGTATGGAACGCGGTCGAAAGCGACTCAGAGTTCACTTCGCGTAGCTACGATAGCAGTTTATCGAGTTTCATGCAAATCGCGCGCTTTGTTCGATTACATGACGAGACCAATTCATTTTTGTCCAATCGCCACACACTTCAGACGTGTCGCGACCGAGATGCGCGTCTCACTTCGTCGTAATTTCGTGCTACATTGCAGCACGAAATATCACCTGGAATTTGTGTCTCCCTCTCTCACGGCCTTCACTTCTTTTATTCGCCATCTAAATAAACTGGAAACGAGACGGCGTTCTTCAACAAGTGCGTCTTAATTTTTACACGGAGAAAATTTGTAGAAAAAATTGCGTTGAAGTTACATTTCATTTTAAAGTGTATTTTATCAATTTGGACTATGCTGAAATTGTAATATATATATATATATATATATATATATATATATATATATTACTATAAAAATAGTAAATTTAATAATCTATTTGATACACAATATAAAAAAAACATTTAATTATGTTAATATATTAAACAGTTAAACGTGCATGAAAGTATATTTTTAAACAAATATGTGTAGTAATTTTGGTCATAATTCCGTATAGTCAAAGGTTATAAAAATCTTGCTATAATGTTCACTGCAATATTTTCTCCGTGTAAAAACGTTAGAGATTGACAGCAGTTGGCTTTTCATTAAATGTTTTTACATCTTATTTTACGCATGCTATGACGTTTTGTCGCATCGACGGCACAATTACGGCTGTCTTATGCCGCTTACCATCGTGTGCCGGTGATATTGAAAAAAGCGAGTTCTACATTCGCCGGAGATGAATTTTTATCGCCGACGCTCGGTGCGCGGTTATTCGATTTTAATGCGATTGCCGCCACCTACCGTTCTCCATTCCCTGTTCACCTTCTCCTTCGCGTCGCTCCTATGTATTATACATCATATTGAGCAGATATTTTACGAGGTCGTCATAACGTCGGGGTATCCGAACAAGGAATAGACGTCTCGCTGTAACGCCACGCGTTCTACCGTCTTCATTAAAATCTAATTAAATCAAGCGAGCGTGTGTGGCGCTTTTATCGCTCTTATCGCCATTCATTGTTTACCGTTAGACGCTGATAAGCTCGACTTCGGTGGTGCCTTAAATTAATCTACGCATAGTAGATAATCGAGAGGGGGAGAGAAAAAAGAGATAGTCAATTATTAATACCAGAAAATTTAAAATAATGTCGACGTTATTAATATTAAAATAGTAAATATTCGAAATGAGATAGAGAATTTCGCAAATGAGTAATTAACCTATCATTGAGCTAGTATGTGCTTTTCAAAAATTCAGATTAATTTGCAGGACAATGGTCAAGTGAAATTTTGAGTCATATTCGTAGAACTTTAGTGAAGTGCGTATAAATAGTCGCGTATGTCGAAACACTCGCGAACAATCCTTTCCGTTCTCCA